AGATTTTGTTTTAGTTTTCTTTTAATAAATTAAATTTGTTATTAATTTGCATTTTATTGTTTCCATGTGTTTTATGTGTATACAGTACTTGTCCTGGTCACGTGGTCCACACGAGGCAGAGTTGCATTGGGCGCCGATTCTAACATCGAATCGGAATTATCATTACCGTGTAATTTATTCCACACTCAAGGTCATCGTTTATAGTGGGGATCAAGCCCCTAGGTTGATTAATTAGCGTGATCGATCCAGACCTCGATCATTGCTCTTGTATTACTGGTCTGGTGGTGGCAGCAGAGGTGACTCTAGGGTTTTGTTCAGAGCTTAGGTCACGTCATACTGGGTGTAGAATCCTAAGTCGGTCAATCGTCTTAGGACCACGTGGCGTGGAGTTGGCTTTGTTAAAAGTTTTGGAGTCCCTTGGTTTAGAAATAAAAGTAAGAATACGGGTAGAGGGAGTAGAAAGAAGGAAGTGAAAGAGAGAGGACCCAAACCCGTGTTACAGGGTGATGGGGCCAGTCACCTAGTGGTGGGTGATGGGGCCAGTCACCTAGTGGTGGGTGATGGGGCCAGTCACCTAGTGGTGGGTGATGGGGCCAGTCACCTAGTGGTGGGTGATGGGGCCAGTCACCTAGTGGTGGGTGATGGGGCCAGTCACCTAGTGGTGGGTGATGGGGCCAGTCACCTAGTGGTGGGTGATGGGGCCAGTCACCTAGTGGTGGGTGATGGGGCCAGTCACCTAGTGGTGGGTGATGGGGCCAGTCACCTAGTGGTGGGTGATGGGGCCAGTCACCTAGTGGTGGGTGATGGGGCCAGTCACCTAGTGGTGGGTGATGGGGCCAGTCACCTAGTGGTGGGTGATGGGGCCAGTCACCTAGGGGTGGGTGATGGGGCCAGTCACCTAGTGGTGGGTGATGGGGCCAGTCACCTAGTGGTGGGTGATGGGGCCAGTCACCTAGGGGTGGGTGATGGGGCCAGTCACCTAGGGGTGGGTGATGGGGCCAGTCACCTAGTGGTGGGTGATGGGGCCAGTCACCTAGTGGTGGGTGATGGGGCCAGTCACCTAGTGGTGGGTGATGGGGCCAGTCACCTAGTGGTGGGTGATGGGGCCAGTCACCTAGTGGTGGGTGATGGGGCCAGTCACCTAGTGGTGGGTGATGGGGCCAGTCACCTAGTGGTGGGTGATGGGGCCAGTCACCTAGTGGTGGGTGATGGGGCCAGTCACCTAGTGGTGGGTGATGGGGCCAGTCACCTAGTGGTGGGTGATGGGGCCAGTCACCTAGTGGTGGGTGATGGGGCCAGTCACCTAGTGGTGGGTGATGGGGCCAGTCACCTTGTGGTGGGTGATGGGGCCAGTCACCTAGTGGTGGGTGATGGGGCCAGTCACCTAGTGGTGGGTGATGGGGCCAGTCACCTAGTGGTGGGTGATGGGGCCAGTCACCTAGTGGTGGGTGATGGGGCCAGTCACCTTGTGGTGGGTGATGGGGCCAGTCACCTAGTGGCGGGTGATGGGGCCAGTCACCTAGTGGCGGGTGATGGGGCCAGTCACCTAGTGGCGGGTGATGGGGCCAGTCACCTAGTGGCGGGTGATGGGGCCAGTCACCTAGTGGCAGGTGATGGGGCCAGTCACCTAGTGGCAGGTGATGGGGCCAGTCACCTAGTGGTCGTTGATGCCCATTTAAATTCCATTTAAATGGGCTTGACCAAGTAAAAATCTGCTATCAGAACTACTGTATAGCAAACTCTGCTTTCAGACAATACACAGCCCCTCTGTTTAACTCCTTATCCCTTAGACCGCGCATATTATTGCGAATTTAGGGGGGCATAACATCGAAAAATATTTGAATTATGCAACTTAAAAATGTTAAACAAATCTCAAACTTATTGGCTTCAGTGCCGTGAAAGTCTCAAATATTTTCAGAAATTGATTTTAGACGATTTTTTTAAAAATAAGAACATTTTATTGATAAGAACAGCTCCTAATAACTGTAACTGAAGGATTATGCAGTAATAAAGAAATGCAAGCACCTGTCCTATGCTCAAAGAAGAAGAATAATAATAAGAAGTGTCAACAAAGTGAATATGCAGTTGGTGCCATTGTATCATTGCCGAGTAATACATAATAACACAAACATAATGAATAATTATGTTAATATGATCTATTTTGTTTTATAACATATAAATACATTGTCCAATGTTAATATATGTTACTTTCATAAATGTCCCAAAAATATTTTTTTTAGTCGATTTTTTTTTTAAGATTTTAGTTTTTTTCTGCTTTGTTTATTATCTGATTTTGTTTTAACCTTTACATCCTGGGGAATACATATGTTTTCATAACTATGTGAAGACAGAATGAAATTGGTCAACAAATAAGTCAGTCACAACTAGCAAAACTTGGGTCTTTTAATTTTTTGGGGCTGATTTTTCTCTGATTTCAAACTATTTTCTTCGTCTCTTTAGGTTGTTTTGATGATTAGGGACCATATTAGGACTTTTTCACTTATATAAAGTATACCCTAAATATATCCCCTAAATCATTATATTTATTAGAATTATCCCTATACTTTGTGTTTTGGAGGGGTTATTTTTTTCTTGACTTCATTTCAACACACATTGACCTACAACTTTCACATATTCGAGTACGAATGCCAAACAATATTTATTAAAACATACAATGAAATTAACGAATTAAAACTACCTTTATTCATTGTTGATAACTTCAACTTCAATTATCTCTGAAACCAGAGTTTCAATTTTGAGTGGCTTCTAAAATTCTAGTTATTAACCAATTCTCATTATTTTGACATATTGTGTGCTCAGTTGTCTGTTCTACAATCCCATCAGAATGGATTTTTCATAAACTTTATGCATTTGGAGTTAGAATTTTTTTGGTCTAAATTTGCTGCATACTGTATTTCAAATGTCCTATTGACGATTTTTTACAATAAACTATACAGTACTAAAAACCTATATTCTAATTTAATGAAAATGAAGATCATATGCTATTCTGAGAGAATAACAACATTAAATGAACAATTAATGATAGTTCATATTTTTTATTCTGAATTGATTATCTGAAGTTTTCAATATTTAATTTTAAAATTTTGATTCTCTGTATTTTTAAGTTATGCTGTGATCATTTAGACAAAGTTGGAGCATTTGTCTAGTTGATTATGCAACAAAAATAGGGAAGTGTTTGTGTAAGTTTTAAAAACTTATCTTAAATTATTTTTTGTCAAATCATATATTTAAGTATTGCACGGTCTAAGGGTTAAACATGCTAAACATACACTCACTTTACACATTCTCGTGTGATATTTATATGTACAAAATCTTGTTCCTAAATGCTAATCCTGATCTGACACTCTTGCTTGATAAATGTAATAGAACCCATGAATACCACACCAGAAATAAATATCTTTGATATTCCAAGAGTCAGACTAAATCTGTGCAAACACGTCACGCAAATAAAAGAACCCAGTCGATGAAACTCGCTCCCTAACAATTTTAAATATTTTCCAACCTATGCTTCCTTCAAAGGTAAAACCGAAAAGTACCTAATTTCATCCTTATAGTTTCCTAATTTGTGCTCCAAACTCTCACTGTATCTAACACTACCCACTCATCCAATTTTAGTATACCCTGTACTCAAGACTTACAACTTCACCATTATAATCGATGGTATGAATTTATATTGTACTGTAGTTATTATGTTGAACTCAAATTCTGCTACAATGTACCTATTAATACTTTTATTAGATAAAGGACCTGTCCAAAACCCTATGCGTGTTAGTGGATTTGCAAAAATGTAATGCTCTAACACCAATGTTATGCACTTTTACAACCCTATGTACCTTATTGTATATATATAAATAAATAAATTTGATGACCAAACCACACATCATGAAAAAAATACATTTCTGTCTGTCCTGGACCATTATTAAGCCAATAATAGTCCAGGATGGACCAAAACGTCACCATTTCTTCACTTTCTAATACAGTATGTGGTTTGGTCATCATATCTTCAGCCATGTTATTATGACTTGTTGTTTGCAAATAAAGAAAGTTGACAAAAAAATTTAATGAATCTCCCCTTTTTTGTAAATTGTATAGTTCAATATCTGAATAAATACAAATAAACAAAACAAATTTTATAAAGCCAAAACCTTGTATAAAACAGCATTAGACTGTAGAGATGACTTCCCTTGGGGGCAAATTTCTCCCAATCCTTGAACTTAACAACTGTAAACGATTAGCCAAATTGCTCTCCAAAAATTAATTACAGTATAATAAACCTTTGCAGAACATCAATACAACTTCTGAGTTGCACTCAACATCTGAATATTCAATATTCTCTATTTATGCACATGTATTTCCATACTTTATTTTTCCAGAGTACAATTTTAACAAAAAATTTCCTTATTTTGTAATTTTAAAACTGAGTACTATATATACATTAAAAAAATAATAATCAAGGGAAAAATACTATATTACAGAAACTCTATAAATACAAAAAGACAAGAAAATTGATTAGAAAATTTCCAACGTACAAAAATAATGTTATTAAGAATATAAAAAATTACGGTTTCCATAAAATTTGATACAGTACAGTTTGAACTTTTCTTTCTTTTAACAAAAATAGTAAAGACTTTACTCTGAGCTGGTCTACAATAGATGGGATAATATTTTATATATATATATATATATATATATATATATATATATATATATATATATATATATATATATATATATATATATATATATATATATATATATATATATATATATATATAATATATGTGTGTGTGTAATTACCCAAGTGTAGTTACAGGATGAGAGCTACGCTCGTGGTGTAGCGTGGTGTGTGCGTGTGTGTATGTATATGTATGTGCGTGTGTGTGCCAGCGTGTTTGAGTAAACTTTTGTACTAATGTTACTTAGCATTGATACTAATATCGTACTCTTGTCTCAGCCAACGTGTGACTGTAATAACCCACCTTGTCCTGAATTTGAGCGGATAACATCAACTCCATGTTGTTGGGAGTTATAAGCAGGTCTGCCTCTCGACGGGTCTGGATAATACCGTGGGTTTCCTCCACCACCATGGGGAGGTGTCATGGAGGTGTTGCCATCCGCTTTACCTGTGAACATATTAAGAGTTCTGCATAATATGAAGCAGAGAAGCACCTTAGCTTGAAGAGGGATGTGTATGTTCTGCTTACTTGCAAATGCACCAATATCAAAGTCAAGCCTCTACCAGAAATACCTGCTGGGTGATAAATATTTTGTAGCAGAAGCAGTAACAGCTTTTGCTGAAGCGTAAGCTAATACACATCAAATAACCTTCAACATGGTAGGAAATGCCATGGGCACGGGGCATCGAGTAATGAATTCCATTGACTTCGTTGTATATGGGTGGTGCTAGTTCCTGCATCGGTGTTGGCATGGGTTCTGAGAAGGGTACATAGTCTGTTAAATACAGTACAGTATGTGCAATTATTTAAATAGAACTTTCTATAGCTTCTTTGGAGAACCACTTTTCAAATGTCTCTTGAAATAAGCATATAGAAATACAGTATATGACAAATGAGTAAACTACTTTCTCACATGCACTGCTTATTGTAGATATCCATACTTCATTCACAAAACTTTTCCAACTGACTTATTTTTAAAGTGTCTCTTTAATAATTCAACATTTGAATAATAAATGTGCCACAAGAAACACTGCTGTACACTTTAAATATCAAAGTACAGTACCAGGGTATATAATTATAATAATATGTTGTACAGAAATTAAGAACACAAGAACATAAGTTTTCACACGATGTTCAAACTTCTAATATTATAATTGTAAATAAATGAAGTGCATCACAATGTTATATTTCCTATTTCTCGGGAGAGAATTATAGTGTTCTTTCTCTACAAGGAATTGGTTTTGTTCCATTATGTTGCTGTAGATCTACACTGTCATTTAGAAGAGGATTTCGCTTTCTTCCTGTTCATATTATTATGGCTTATAATCACTACGCTTCCTTGTTCTCTGTCTTTTTGACAGACTTTAATTTCGGTTCCTGTTGCACCTAATTTCACTTGCCATTTTCCTATTTCTGTTCTTGTTTTACCTATTTTCACTTTCCATTTTCCTATTTGTTGTTCTTTTACCTAATTTCACTTTCCATTTTCCTATTTCTGTTCTCAGTTTACCTAATTTCTCTTGCCATTTTCCTATTTCTTTCTTGTTTTACCTAAATTTCACTTGTAAATTTCCTATTTCTGTCTTGTTTTACCTAGTTTCACTTGTAATTTTCCTATTTATTCTTTCCTATCTTGAGTGTGGCTGCCACAACAGACACACACGTATCAAAGTACTTTACTGCCCCTATCACGATATGCCTGTTTTCATCAACAATTATATGTATCTGACATATTTACACTTTTTTTCTAAAGCGCCCACTAATGACACATGTTTTTCCAAAGCATGCATTGATGAAACATATTTCCAAAACACTAATGTTCATTCAAATAGTACAGTATCTTATGTCTACCATAATTTTATATTGCAAACTACGAATCCCATTACAGTATTTGATAGCATTCTACCACTCAAAACTCCTGGTACTTTCAATTAAACTATGATGAGATACATAAAAAATTTAAGAAATTCCCTTTAGTTTATATAAATTTTACACAGAAGACTGAATGATTGAATTGCTGCAGATGGCACACATTGCCTTTACATAACAATTTTGAAACAGAAAACTTGTTACCAAACTAATGAGCCCTACTTTCACAAGATGTCAAGTGTAGCAGAACTTAAAAGGTTTACAGGATACTGTTTTATGTCAAGAATTACCGAATTTCAGGCATATTATAGCTCCAGAGTTAGGGTTATTTCTGTTACATTTTAAAATGTTTTAATTAAAATAATTCAAGTTAAATAAAGCTTATTTTTAATTATCGCATCTCCATGCCATGCTGTTTAGATAAACACATGGGGGATAATACCTAATGTGTCCTTTACATTAAGCTGATAACCTACGTAATTTCTGAACATTACATTCAAGTAATTTCTTCTTAGAGATGTTCCTTAATAATTAACACATTATAATTTAATTCAAAAGTTTAATTCTTAACTTACCGATATTGTCAAACTGTCCATGGTGGTTTTGGGGTTGTTGCCCCTTTTTAGGGCAGCACAAGTTCTGACCCATCCTCAGATGTGTTCATGCACCTGTAACACAAAACACATTACATGTAAGCCATTATCACTAATAAGGAGGATATTATTATTACAATTAAATGTTTATTGTTAATCCTACAGAAGTATCATAAACTTACAATTAACTGCAGAAACCCCCATCAAGCAGGTACCATTTCATGTTCTTAGATCTAATTGAACTACCTGATCAGAAAGCAGTAACTATTGCTAGGCATCTATTGAGCTGTCTCAGTTATCATGGTTTTGATGACTTACATTTGAAACAGAACCTCTAGCCTTTGCTAGTGATGGGGCAAGTGTCATGCTTGGTGTCAAAATCTGGCATTGCAACAGTTCTCAAGGAACACTACCCTGATATAATAACCTGGCATGGTCTTAATCATAGATTAGAACTTGCAGTAGGTGATTCAGTGAGAGAAGTTCATGGAATCACTTTCATGCATTTATGGATAAATTGTTACACAGTTTACAGTAGATCACGTCTATACCAAAAGGAACTATCTGAATGTGCCTCTCAACTTGAACAGATTTGTAAAATAGGCGGTGATCTGAGCACCAGGTGGACGGTCAGTTTGTTTCAAACAGTTTCAGCAGTGTGAAAAAATTATGAAGTACTTTGTTTTCATTTTGAAACAGCAGTGAAAGATGAAACCAATTTGGAAGTGATAGAAAAACCTATTTAACACTTTCGCGCTTTAGATTAGAGATAACTCGTCGCCGTTTTTTCTTACGATTCCGCATAACAGCCTACTTTTCTCGTCCATCGAAAAAATATTTCTATAAATTCCATTTTTTAACCGAAATGGATGGGGATACTCTCAGATTTTTCTCCATGAAATTCCCGTTCTCCCTCACCGAACACATGGCATCTCGGCCTACCCGGTCACGTGGTATACCACATGTTCCCGACATAGATGCCAGCGCAGCTCCTCCTGCTGACGCGGCAGTTTCAACACCCGGGCCCATCTGGTGCGAGGCGTCCTCTGTTCACCTCAACACCTCAAGCCCACTCATCAACCACAAATTCTGAAATGGACATTGAGGACATAGAACCACTTGATGTTTCTGATTTCATAGAAGATTCTACTACAAGTTTGGTGGTTCCTGTAGAAGACAATATTCCTCCAGTGCATCCAAGAAATACAAGAATTATAGATTCAGAACAACGTCTCAACTACAAGTTGACGCATGAACTCGTGCACTTGGCTAAAAAAAGAAGATGCCGTGTTTGTTTCAAGTCTGGCAAAAGGAGGGACGTGATATATGGATGTAAAACTTGTGATGTGGCACTGTGCGCTGCGCCTTGCTACACAAGGTACCACCGAAGAAAGATATTTTGGGTGGAGAAAAAATAACCACCGGCAACAGCTTCACTCCACCTAAGAAACATCAGATGAGCAACTTCAGGATCAGAAGCCTGAAGATGGTGGAGTGAAGAAAAAATGCTCAACTGTTGATCTTCAATCAACATAGACAGGGTAAGTACACCTATTTGGAATTTTTTATCATCTATAAGAAGTTATATTATATTATATACGTTTTGTAGAGAATTTATTTGCGAATTTTTTGGTACCAGAATGAATATTATATCACATAAACTTCTATGAGTAAAAAAAAAAAACACAAAGTATGTTTGGGGGTGTGGTGGGTGTGGCGGCCGTGTGGCAGTGGGTTCCCTTTAGCCGTTGATATATCCAACACGTGGGAAATATTTGTATGTGTTATGTATATGTCTGTGTAGGGAATTTTACTGCGATCACTGTCATACAAATTATAAAATGTTTCAACAAGTATAAACATGACAAACATCAAACGAACGAAAACAATGCGTTCATTTCTGCCGCGAACGCATACTGAGCGACGTGGTTCTATATTTGGCGCTTCTCTTACACATGCTTTGTACAAATGTTATACATTTCATCTTATAGAAAATTTTATTGTGAACACATTGGTATAAAAAAGAAATACGTACATAGAAAAGTAGGGTCAGGAAACGTAAAAATGTATAAACTTTCCAAGCATGATTTCCCCCCTGTGTTTTCGCCAGTGCGCTCGCGGCTAACTACTCTCCACTTCACACACTCTTGCGGGTGGGCAATTACCTATATTAAACATTCATATGCATATGTTCGTGTAGAGAATTTTATTGCGATTCCAATGATACCAAAATTAGCGATGTAGGACAACTGTAGGCTTCGCAACCATTAAGAGAGTGGAAACATTTTGTTGCCGTTTGGCGCTCTCGGCGAGTGATCTGCATAGTTTTTTATTTGGTGTTGATACTCCTTATGCTTGGGCGGCATTTTATAGGAATGCTCTTATAGACAATTTCATTGCGAACACAGTGATACCAAATTTAAATACGTGCGCCTTTAATTATTGTCAGGACAGTCAAAAGAGTGTACACTTTTTTGGTCTTACCTCGTAGGCGCGCGAAGTGCCAAAAGCATCTGGGGTATTGATTTTTTTTGAGCGCCGAGAGCGCGAAAGTGTTAAGTCTGTTGAAAAAGCTAACTTCAGAACAGTTTCTATTGAGTTTAGCTCTAATGTATGACAGGTTGCATGAACTTGGTTTACTGTCAGTGTGTCTACAGAATTGCACTAGTTCAATTGTGTATGCAGACAAACTGATTCAACAGAGCATAAGGTCATTGCATGACTAAAACAGAAACCTGGCACTAGAACTTTAGAAGCTCAAAAGACAGTTGAAAAGGGGAAGTTTGGATTTCACTACTAAGTGAAATGTGTGTCCTTGAAAAAGATTACTGGCCTGATGAAATACCACCTAATTATAGAGAAGCTGAAATATTATCTCTCTATAAGAGGAGATATCATCGTCTCCCAAGATGTACACCCATTACTGAGCTGTTTACAAGTTATTTCTATTAGTACTGCTGAGTGTGAGAAGGGGATTTAGTCACACAAACCTGATAACAACAACAACACACTAAAGAGTTCTCTTAAATCATGTATCAGCACCTATGTTGGTTAACCCTTAAACTGCACATATTGGTGGGCCCGGAAGCAACAAATATTCGAAATATCTAAAAATAACTTAAAAATGTTTAACAAATCTCAAACTTATTGGCTTCAGCGTCATGAAACTTTCATCAAAATATTTTCAGAAATTGATTTTAGACGAATTATTTAAAAATAGGAACGTTTTGTTGATAAGGAGACCAGCTCCTATTAACTGGAACTAAGGGATATTGCAGAAATAAACAGATGTAAGCACCTGTCCGACGCTCAAAGAAGAAAAATAGTAGTAAGAAGTGTCCACAAAGTGGATATGTAGCTGCAGCCTTTATAGCATTGCTGAGTAATACATAATAACACATAAAAATGAGTAACTATGTTATTATGCTCTATTTTGTTATACTGTATATCATATAAATACATTGTACAAAGTTAATACGTATATGTTACTTTCATCAATGTCCCAATTTTTTTTTAGGCAAAATTATTTTTTTTTAATATTTTAGTTTTTTCTCTTCTTTGTTTATTATCTGATTTTGTTGTAGCCTTTACATCCTGGAGAGAGCATACCCTTCCCTAACTATGTGAAGATAGAATGAAATTGGTCAACAAATAAATCGGTCACAACTTGCAGAAGTTGGGAGTTTGAATTAGTTTTGGCTGATTTTTTCTCAGATTTCAAACTATTTTCTTTGTCTCTTTAGGTTGTTTTGATGATTAGGGACCAGATTAGGGCTATTTCACTTTTATATAGTACATATATCCTAAATATATTCCCTTAAATTATAATTATTATAATTATCCCTATTTTTTGGGGGGAGAGGGGGTATTTTTTCTTGACTTCATTTCAACACATATTGACCTAAAACTTTCACATATTTGAGTACGACTACTAAACAATGTTTATTAAAACATACAATTAAATTAACAAATTAGAACTACAGTGGAACCTCGGGTTACGAACGTTGCTGTTTACGAGTTTTTCGGGTTACGAGCCTGATTTGTTCGGAATATTTGCATCGGGATACGAGCCCGATTTGTTCGGAATATTTGCATCGGGATACGAGCATTGCATCGGATTACGAGTTTGTTGATACGCGTCCGGGCCGACCTAGCATGTGTTGGCATGTCTATCACACCTCAGTTTATCAGTTCCTCGTGCCCAGTGACTATCCCACCTGAATTCTTCATAAGGATTTACAGTTTTTTGTCGGAATTTTGGCCATTTGAGCATAAAAGTTGTTATTATAAATCTCGCCATGGCTCCCAAGAAAGCCGGTGGTAAGGTTTGAGGCAAGAAATCGCATGTGAGGATGACAATAAAGGAAAAACAAGAGATCATTCGGAAGCATGAAAATGGTACACGTGTTGTTGAACTAGCTAGGCAGTACAACAAATCCACGTCAACGATATGCACTATACTTGCTAAGAAAAAGGACATTATGATTGCTAAAATGCCAAAAGGTGTATCAACAATCACGAAACAAAGACCACAAATACTTGAGGATGTGGAAAAGTTGTTATTAATTTGGATACACAACAAGGAGTTAGTGGGTGATAGTGTTTCAGAGGCCATCATTTATGAGAATGCCAGGGTATTGCACGAAGACCTTGTAAAGAAAACCCCTGGAACGAGTGCAGATACGATAGACTTAGACAAGCAGGGGATGGTTTGACACATTTAACAAAAAGGAGTGGTATTCATAGTGTTGTGAGGCATGGGAAGGCTGCCAGCTCAGACAAACCAGCAGCTGAAAGATTTATTGAAGAATTTAAAGAGTTTGTAGAGGCTGAGGGATACCACAACAAGTGTTTAATTGTGATGAGACAAGACTGTTCTGGGAAAAGATTGCCTAAGAGGACACACATTACCAAGGAGGAAAAATCATTGCCCGGACTCAAGCTTATGAAAGATAGGTTTACACTTGTGCTGTGTGGAAATGTGAGTGACAATTTGAAAATTTAACCTTTGCTTCTGTATCATTCTGAAAATCCAAGGGTTTTCAAAAAAGTATGGTGTGCAGAAAAACCAAATG